TCCCCCTGGGAGATGGCCATGCCTCAGTCCCTTCTCCTCCATGCTCCTCTTGGAGTTGTGGGCACTCACACACTTGCACCCTGTGGGATTTTCAAGCCACTGAGTCTAAGACACGGACTGTGGTCGGCCACGTGGGAGTCCAGCGTCTTAACCATCACACCACCGGCCGGCCCCATGGGCCCCTTCAGGTGGGCGCCCTTTAGTCCCAGGGTCTCTAAGTTGGCCACCTCAGACTGCACTCACTGAGCAGAGCAGTCCCCTTACTATGCCCCACCGTGCGTGCTCCTCTCTAGAAGAAAGGGGGAGGAGGGGACCAGTGTGTGTGGGTGCCCCCTGCGTGTCAATAACACGGGCCGCAGCAGCGGGGACCTGCATTGCAAGTGTTTGCTTTGGGCCCAGCCCTGGCTAGATGCTCAGCTATTCACGTCCCCTCGGTAGTCCTGCTGGCCGGCTCTGTCCCCATCCCGTTTCTCCTGCCAAGGAAGCTGACGTCACGCCACGGGTGGCTTCGCACCCGGAGCCTGGCTGCTTCTTCTTTCCACCCGAACTGCACCTGGGCCGTCCCTGTCTGCTCTGAGATGTTGGGCACAGCACCTGGCTTCTGGCAGGACAGGAGACCCCGGGCGTGGTGTCACCCAGCTCGCTGGTGGGTGAGAAAGCCCAGGCCTCCCGGCTAGCCTTCTGCTCAGGCTGTCGGTCTGGGAAGTCTGCAGCCCACCTCCATGGCCCTTTCCCCAGCAGCTCCGGGCAGGGGGCTCCAGGGTCCAGGCGGAGAGCCGATGCCCGAGGAGCAGGTTCTGAACCTTCTGGGGAAGGAGCCCCAGGTCTGCAGCCCGGCCCCGGTCCCCAGGCTGACCTCTTCCCTCGCAGGGAGTCCCTGACAGCTGCGTCCAGGAGAACGATGAGCTCCCCTTTGTCCTCCCTTAGCAAGATCCGGAAAGTGCCCCTGCAGTCGGAGTCTGCGAACCCTGGGTAAGGGGCCGGCCCGGCGTGCTTCGTGTCCCTTCCCCATCTCCTGGGCCTCCTGTGCAGAGAACGGCTCTTGTCTGAGCGACTATCTGAGGAGACTCGCAGAGTGTCCCCTGACCACTTCCTTCCTGGGGTCTCTGCTTTGTGCTGGGCCTCCACCGAGGTATGGGCCCCGCAGGCCTGGCTCAGCAGCTGACCACGGGGTGCACGCTGATGCACTGCAGACACTCACGGCTATCTGTCCTGGCAGGCCCGGGGCTGGCCCGAGTTAGGGAGGCTCAGCACCTCCATCTTTTCAGAGCACTCTTCTTTCTTCCTTGGGCTCTTCTGGACACCTCTTTGAGTTATTCTAAGGCTGAGGAGGTCCAGAGAGCTTCAGCAACCTGCCTGGGGTCCCACAGCCCTTTCAGAGCAGATGCAGGGCCGGCCCGTGGCTGTGGGGCTCTCGTAGTCTCCCCAGCCAGGACTCGGCTCCCTACTCTTGCCTGCCTCCTCCCTGCTGCCTGTCCCTTGACCTGTCCCCAGCTAGGGGTGAGATCTCGGCCTGGGAGTCTCAGGAGGCAAAGGCTCAGCCCCTACCTCTCAGCCAGGGCTGGCTCCCACGCCTGGGACCTCTCCCCTGGGGTCAGGCCTGGGGTCCTAACATACTTCTCCCTTCTCCTTCCCGTCCCGGCCCCCAGGAGGCGAGGAGTACGAGTCTATGGAGATGGTAAGTGTGCACCACCCCGTCCTCCTCTCCCATCCCGGGCCTCCTGGCACTGGGCGACGGGGAGGAAGTGGGAGATGCAGCTGCCAGTCAGGGCCGCTGGCCCCGCTGTGACTGCAGGGCACCAGCACTCCCCCCCTCTCCCTGAGGCCTGGGCTTCCCTCCCGGCCACTCCCAAGTTCGAGGCCCCACACCCTTAGCAGAGACGTCACTAACACAGGAACCCCTCAACCCACAGTGGGTTGGACCAGCAGCTGCCTAGAAACCCGGCAAGGCTGAGAGATTGCCCAGCCCAGGGCTTCAACCCCCAGCCCTCCCACAGCCTCCTCCTCCATCGCGGCCTTTTGTCCCTGAAGCACTGTCCTCATGCCATTGTCCCAGCTCCTGCAGGACCAGGCCTGCGGGTCCTAGCCCCACCTCAGCCCCCTGTGCCACTGGCATGGGCCACTCGGGGGCCCTCAGGAGCCGAGCTAAGAGAAGCCAAGGAGAGCCCCATTCGGCGGGCCCCTTCCTCTCCACCTCCTGAGTTTCCTACCTCATGGCTTGGAGGACGGTGTATATGCTTCCCCCAAGCCATGGCCCAGGGCCCGAGTTTCCTCTGGGCCTCGGCCCCAGAGCGTTGATCTGGGCATCCCACCTGCAGAAGACGAGGTGGACGTGTTGAATGAAGGACACGGCTCAGAAGAGAAGATCTCTGTCCCCCCCTGCTATGGCGGCATCGGTGCCCCTGTGGGTAGGCAAGGTGAGAGCAGAGGCCGAAGGGGCTGGGTCCTGCCCAAAGGAGGGGACCCTGGAGCAAGGTGAGGCCCAAAGAGGCATGGCCCCTACTCTTGCCTGCCGGGGCTGAGACAGCTGCGCCCACTCCTGGCCACCAGGGCCCTGTGGCTCCCCCCACATCTGTCCGGAGCCTGGTTAGGCTAAAGCCACACATGGCCTTAAAGCCCCTGGCTAGGCTTGGCTGGGGCCTCTGGAGTGGCCCTGGCTGGAGTCACTGTCAAGTGTGATGGCGGGTCCAGGGTTCGGGGCCCAGTGGGAGGGAGGGCAGAGCCAGGCCCGGTTATGTGCTTCTTGCCCCTGCAGGACTCTGGCAAGGCCCCAGTACCCGGTAACCCACTCACCCCGGCCACCATCTGCAAAGGGCTTCCGCCACGCCGAGCCCAAGGAGGTGCCCCGAGTGGGCTGGGGCTGGTCAGGACGGCTTCCCAGAAGAGGGAGGATTTAGCAGGCTGGGAAGACAGGGAGAGGGCAGGTAGGGACAAGCTGTGCAGGCGTCTACGCTGGAGTGAGGGCAGGGCTGGAGCGCGGCTCCGGGTCCTGTCCTGCTTCCTCCCTCGTGGTGAGGGCAGGGCCTGTACGTGCTCGTGGCGAGGGGAGGGTCTGACCAGACGCTGCTCACAGGCAGGTCCAGCCAGGGCCAGTCACCCGGGGGCTCAGCAGCAGGAAAAGGCCTGGCGATCCTTTCTACAGTCAGGGAATCGAGATGGAAGAAGACAGAGGAAGAGCCTGGCCCAAGGCCCCAGGGCCACTTAGTCACAGAGCCGTGGCCTACACCCAGCTGGGACCTCAGTGTAACCACAACACCCTGCTCCTCACCCGAAAGAACCGCCGACTTCCTCTCAGCTTCTCCCTGTCCGTCTCCTCTCCCTCCACTTCGGGTGCTGGTGTCTTAACCCCTCAGGGTCACCCGCAATGGTCCGCTTCTCTGCTTAGAAGTACCCCTTTCCCTCGGGACACCCTCGCCTGGGGCTCGCTGTCATCCTGCCCCTCCAGCTCGTCTCTCCACTCTCCTGGTCAGCTCTTCCGCTTCCTCTCAAAGTTCCCTGTGATGTCTCACCTGCCCGGGTCCACCCACCCTGCCTGGGGGCTCCCAGGCTCTGCGCCGACCCCCGAAGCTCTGTGTGTCAGCTAAGACGCGTTTGACACCAAGTCCGAGGGAGCCCATGCCCAGCATGGACGTGGGGGAGATTTAACGTCCCACCCACGAAGTCCAGGGAGGTTAATTCAGCACGTCAACCAGTGCGGAGCTGAGGTTTCTCATCTTCCCTCCGAGCCAGCCTGGGCGGTCAGCTCCAGGGGCTCCCTGCTCTCGGAGAAAGTGCACCAACCGGTCACGGGCGAAGGTCTCATCCTTCCCTCCCTCTCTTTCTTTCCCCAGACTATTTTGAAATTGTCTTGGTGTGCAGCGAAGCTGCAACAGTGCAGTGGGGTGAACGCTGAGACACCCCCGCCTAGAGTCAGCACTGAGAGTTTTGTGTCATGTCGGCCTTCTGGTCTCTGTTAGCGCGTGTGCATGAATGTAAATGGATTTTCTGGGCTTTTTAGAGACCTTGCTATAGCGCGCCTGTACTCATTGGAGAGCCAAAGTCAGACAGGAAGTGAGGAATCATCTCCGCCCCCCCCCAGGGGACGGCCTCACCGCAATCTCTTCCCTTCCTTTCTCCTCTCCGGATCTCAGGCACGCACAGGGCACTGGGTCCGGAACTCAACCCCGGTTGACTACGTGGGAGTCAGGGACATAAGCAGTACACCATCTGCTGGTCCCGTAAATGGGTATTTTTGGAATGAACCGTTTCAAAATAAGTTGCAGAGCTGCCAGCAGGTGGCATGCTGGTTAAGGTGCTGGACTCTCATGTGGTTGGACGCCCTTGGAATCCTAGAACCGGCAGCTTAAAAGTCGTGCTGGGCGCGTGTGTGTCAGTGCCTAAAATCCCAACGGGCAGCTGGAGGGGAAGGGTTTGTGAGCGGCCATCCACCCCACAGGGTGAGTTCTCACTTTCCCTGTCTCTGTCTCTCTCCAGTGACTGCACATGCCCTGTGGCAAAAAAAAAATCACCTAAAAAAATTAGTGACTTGCAGATACGGCATTTCACCTCTCACTACTTCAACATGTATTGTCTGAGAAAAAGGAGATACAGGGGCCAGCAGGTGGTATGGTGGCTAAGGGTGCTGGACTCCCATGTGTTCGATTGTGGTTCAAGTCCTGGACCTTGCTTTCTCACTTTCTCTCTTTCTCTCATCAAATTAAAATAAATAAATTAATTTAAAAGAAAAAAGAAATACATAATCCCAATGATGTTCTCACATTTAGGACAAGAGTAATTCAGCGTTACTTGCTAAAGTCTGTCTCTTCTATGCTCAGGTCTCCCCCATGTTCCAAAATACTTCCTCCCCTTTTTTTGTTTTGGTTTTTAAATTTTGCTATAGGGAACTTGTGCTTGCTGCAGAGAGACAGAGGGAGGGAAAGTGAGAAAGCACCTACCGGGGGATGGCCATGCTGCAGTCCCATCTCCATTCTCATTTTGGGATTTCGGGCATGCACAAGTTGGTCACGCTGTCGGGTCAGAACTGGAACCTCAGAGCCACAGCGTCGCCCACGTGGCATTAGCCGCCGGGACCGTCACGCTGCAGCTGGCCCCCAAATGCCCTGTCTAGTGATGTGTGTTTCCCCGACCTGGGATCTGGTGGAGAATTACACACTGCGCTCGACTGCCACACGGCCTTTCTAACAAGCGAAGCTCACTTCAAGTCCCGGCCAGGTGTCCTGCACGGGAGCCCACACGCGGGTTGTGTCTGTGTGTGCACCACCCACTCCTCTAGCTGCTGCATTTTCTGCAAACTGGAGCTCAGATTTCGGGGCTCAACTGAATGGATGAGTCTGGAAAATACTCCAGGTGTGATGCAAACGTTCCAAACTTGCTTGTACACCATGCACGAACCCTGTCTCCTGACGGCGTTCATTTGCCTCACGGCACGCGGGGAGGGTGTGTGCAGGGCAGTCCCCATTAGTAAGAGTCACTGATTTCCGCTCCTGGGGTGCCCTGTCCCCTGCATCTCTGCACCTCGGCCTAAGTGCTGAGGACTGCGTCTGCTTGGCAGTCCCCTCGTCCCATGACTCGGAGCTGGTGGCCTCCATGTCCAGGAAGTTGCGGGACCTCGAGCGCCAGGTGAAGGCTCAGTCTGACGAGATGCTCTTGAAGGTAGGACCAGGCAGGAGGGACCAGGCCGGGGAGGCCAGGGGAGGCTGGCAGACCAAGACATGGGTTCTAGCACCTTCTCCACCACTAAACTGCCAGGTTCAAGGGCCAGGTGGGGCCTGAGACTGATCTGGGTCTCTGTGACCGATCAGAGAGACTGCGGGCCTTCTCCCTAGCTGAGCCAGAAGTGGAGCAGTGACAAACCAGGACAGTGCTGCAACTTGGAGAGCCCTTAGACCCTGGCCTTGGGGCAGTGGGCCGCCGAGCAGCACGTGGCGCCCAGACGGGCATGGGCTGCGCTTTTCCTGCCTCAGTGGAACCACAGGTTCTGTGAGGTGCAGGAGCAGCGGCTGTGCCGAGCACGGGAATGGGGGCTCTGTGCCCTAGCACCCCCTCGTAGGCAGAGTCCGGGTCTTCGTAACCGGAAGGAGGGAGGCGCGCTCCGTCTGACCCTCTGGGGCTCCAGACCCGCTGGCCTGCCCTGGCCCACGTCTTGCTGCTGCAGGATCAGAAGATCTCGGCCCTGGAGGACCTGGTGCAGACGCTCCAGCAGCACCACGGTGAGAGGCGGGCCGCTCCGGGAGCACAGGGGCCCCGGGCGCAGGGCGCAGGGTGGGCTGCCTCCTTGGCGCAGTCCGGGAAGCTGAGCCCAGAGCGGGCAGCACCCAGGACAGGGCTGTGCTGCTCGGTCCCCTGAGCACAGGGTGCCCAATGAGGCAGGAAGGACGCCCTGCAGGGAGGGGAGCGGCGGCCTCGCAGCAGACAGTCAGGACCCCCGCCGCACACGGAGATGTGGGAGACCAGAGAGCAGGGGGCCCTTGGGCCTGGAGGCCCCGGTGCTGGGGTGGCTGAGCCCCGCCCTGTCTCCCCTAAAGGTGAGGCGACTGCTCAGCGGCAGGAGGAGCTGGAGGCCATGTGCGCGCAGCTGCAGCGACAGGTCGGAGAGATGGAGGTGAGGGCGCCCCGGGCCCCCAGGCACTGGCTCTGAGCCCACCTCTCCTGCCTGTCCCTTGCACACATCCCACCAGACCCTGCCCAGGACCGAGACAGGGTTTAAAGAGCAGGAGAAGCATCGGCCCATGCGCCTGTCAGGCCTGAGCTAAGTTCCGTGGAGCTCCTCCTCCCCCTCGGCCTGGCTACCCACAGGCTACACCCCCAATCCTTCCCTGCCCCGTGGCCTCTCTAGCCTGCTTGCGACTCAGGGCCCTTCCCTGGGCCTTCAGTCATGGCCAGCGACCTCCCAGCTCAGGGCATGGGGCCATGCTCTTCCCTCTGCTGGGGTGCTCCTGCCCCTCCCCTCGGTGAGTTCCCTTCATCCCGTCATTTCCTCGTCTTCGGCTTTCTTAGTCCCCCACCTCTTCCCCAGAGACTGGGAACTCCACACGGAGGGGTCACTTCCATTTGTTGTGGCAGCCAGGACCCAGCCCCCCAGGCCTAGCACCCAGCCCCGTTCTCACTGCACTCACCTACACGAGCCGCGAGGCTGGGGCTGCAGGGACAGCGCCGGGAAGGTGCCACACACGCGCCCCCCAGCACTGAACCCGGGAGCCCGGCGAGTGCCCGGGCCCTCCTCTCTCCCTGTCCGCCGAGCTGGTCGCCAAAGCCCACCCTCACATGGACGGCTGCGGCCAGCCCTCAGGCCAGCGCTGCAGCTGCGCCTTCCTGCCAGGCCATGCCCACACGGGCGCTGCCAGGGGACCACCTGTTGGCAACGGCTGGCTCAGCCTCTGAGCTACAGCTGGGTGCGAGGGCTGCATCCTGGAGCCTCGGGAAGAGGGCAGTGCTGGATCCTGCGAGCACGTGACACGGACTGCTCCTTACCTGGGGCGCTGACACATGTCAGCACGGGCTTGTCCTGCCTCGTGGGCCGGCCCGGACGTGGAGGGACACGGCAGGAGAGACGTGGAGTGCTGTGGGACAAGTGACCAGCGATACTAGGGAGGGTGGGGGACACGGCACGAGTTCCAGAGGGTGAGGCGGGACAGGTGAGAGATCCAGGCTCTGCCTGGCGGTGGGGCAAGGACCAGGAGCGGGGAGGGGCTGTGGGGAGCGTCAGGAGGGCTGGCGCTGCGCGGTGGGTTCCCGCACAGCGGACAGGAGCTCTGGGCCAGAAAGCCACTCCTGTGCCAGGAGCAGGTGGCAGGGGCGGGGCTGCCTGGGGAAGGCAGGCAGAAGTGGCCTCGGGGGGTCCAGGAGGGATGGGGTGTGGCCCCACGGGACTGGCAGGTGGCCCCGCCGCTGTGGTGGGCTGTGGTGGGTTGTGGGATTGCTAGGTGGAGGTGCCACCACTGAGACAGGACAACCTGGAAGAGGGCAGTGAGTCCTGCCGTTGGGGACGGGCCAACTGCCGTGCCTGGTGCCCAGGGTGGTGTGTGCAGTGGGCACAGATTCGACGTCCATGCCGAGCGCTCCCACGGGACTGGCAGGTGGCCCCGCCGCTGTGGTGGGCTGTGGTGGGTTGTGGGATTGCTAGGTGGAGGTGCCACCACTGAGACAGGACAACCTGGAAGAGGGCAGTGAGTCCTGCCGTTGGGGACGGGCCAACTGCCGTGCCTGGTGCCCAGGGTGGTGTGTGCAGTGGGCACAGATTCGACGTCCATGCCGAGCGCTCTTCAGTAGCTCATGGAAAAGCTATATTGTGAGGAAACTGCACGTGGATTTTACATGATTTTGCACCAAAAGAAGATCTTACTTTTTTCTGTTCTCCCATGAACTTTCTGAAGTCCCTCGTATAAATACAGAGCATCTCAAAAATCTAAAATTCAGAATGCCCCACGATCCGAACTTTTTTGGATCATCAACCTGACGTCGCCAGTGGGAGCTCCGCCCCAGCGCACGTTGCCGGGGCACACGGTACACACTGCCTAGGTGTACGGAGCGGCAGAGCGTGTGCCTGGGCCGAGGTCTCATCCCCAGCACGTCTCCTTCCGTATGTGCACACATGCCTGGATCCAGAGGGCCCGGGGTCTGAAACACTTCTGCGCACGGGCCCAGCTGCCCTGTCCTCGGCTTGGCTGAGCACAAGGAGGGGAGCGAGGCAGGTGGGAATAAGAAGGGACCCGACCGGGCCCAGCCCCGGAGCTGGCAGAGGCATCGGGTTGAAGGGGCTGAGACGGGAGGGTTCTGTGGGTTTGGCAGGGGGAGGTCGGTGGTGGCTTCACCAGGAGTAGCCTGGGTGATGAGAGGAGGTGGAGGCCAGGGCTCGGTGGGCTGAGAGAAGAGGACGAAGCAACCACGGGGAGAGGGGGTGGCTCTGGGATGTCCTGTGCAGAGGGGGCTCGAGGCTGGCACATGGGTACATGCTTCCCCCGTCGGGCATGTGCATGCGGTCGCCACACCCAGTGGGCACGTGCTTGCTTTGTTCGGGTTTTGCACAGGGCTTATATGCTCACTGCAGAGAGACGGAGAGTGAGAAATCACCCCCCAGGGCGTGGCCACACCACAATTCTTTCTTCCTCAGTCTCCTCTCAGAATTTTGGGCACACACGTACCTGGCATGATTTTCAAGTCACCGAGTCTGGGATTCGAACCAGTCAGCCATGTGGGAGTCCAGCACCTTAACCACCACCTCCTCCTGCCTTGTGGGCTTTTTCTTCTCCGTTTCCTTTGCTAGTTCCCCATCTCTGCCCAGGGCTGACGCAAGGAGGGCTGGGCCCATCTGCCCTGTGGACAGTTATGGCTGACTGAGACCTGCGCGCCTTGTGCTGTGCTGGGTACCTGGCGTGAGTGACGCAGCTGAGTCCTGACAGCCAGGTGCTGTCACCCCCATTTTGCAGAGGGAATGACTTTCCAAGGTCACAGCTAGAGGCCAAGACCCTCAGCCTGCGGTGACAGTATCTCTGGCATCCCTCTTTCCCACAGCGGTTCCTTGGTGACTACGGCCTGCAGTGGGTGGGTGAGCCCATGGACCTGGAGGGGGCGGACGACAAGCTCCTGTTAGAGGACAGCGAGGACTGGATGACAGCCAAGAAGTTCTGGAAGCCAGGTAGAGTAGCAGGCCTGCCAGGCCCTCCTTGGCAGGGGCTGTCCCCTGCTGTGCCCTGGCCCGGCCACACCCCTGGCAGTGCAGGGAAGGCCTCGGCCTCCGTCACCAGCCACCTCACCTGCTGGCCAGTTTCTTCCCTGGTCCTGCCTTGGACCTGCTCGATCACCTCTCAAGGCCTCAAAGACCCAAAGATACAAGACGTGGCAAGACCTCGTCGCTCTGGCTCTGTAGCTTAGAGAATGGCACCTGCCCAAAGGCATCACCTCCCGAACCCTCCCCTGCCCTGGAAGCCCCTCCTCAATTGTCAGGTGTGGCCCTTCCCGGTCTCCTTCCAGGCTCACTGATGAGCCAGACCATCGAACCCCGGCTGCGGCTAGGGGCCTCCACCACTTCCTGAGCCTATGGCTGAAAGCTAGGCATGCACCCAGAACCCCTTCTTCCCTACTCTCGGGTCCATAGAACCCCATTTCTGAACAAGTCTGTTCTCTTCCAAGTAAAGCTTGTTGCCCGGAGGCTGCTTTTCCAGGCTCTGGAGTCGGTCAGCCTGGGTTCTCAGCCTGCCACCACCACCTCGCTCCCCGAGCCCAGGTTCCTCCTCGTCTTAGAGGCACGAGCCTAGGGTGAGCTGAAGCGCTGTGACTGGCCTTGCCGACCTCGGCGACAGCAGGGCCTCTTCTGCTCCTGAAGCCTGGGGCAGACATCAGGGGCCCGAGCGCGGCCCTGAGGGCTGTTTGGAGCATGGCGATGCCCTCTTGGTTGCCGAAGTTGCCTGCTGGGTGAAAACCCAGGCTCTCGGCGTGCGCGTCTTCTTCCCTGTTAGACTTGGGCACGGGCCGGGTCCCCTGAGGCTGCAGTGTGACCCTTTACTCTGAGACCCCCCTCGTGTGGCATTTGCAGCCTTCAGAGCAGTTCGTCCGTTGCTGTGGCAGGGCCAGAGGGACACTGAGGCTCTTGTCAGGGGAGCTGAGCCTCTGTACAGGTGGTCCCGGCCACCAGGCGGAAGGGGAGGGCCAGCGCAGGTTTAGCAGTGGGCCATGGCTTGAGGATTGTCAGGGCTGACACTGGGCTCCAGGGACAGGTCCATCTGGGACATGCAGAGCACAGGCTGTGTGGCCCGGGGAATGCCAGGGTTCCGGTGAGGCCTAAGCCTCAGCCTGCCGGTGCTCGAACGTGGCCCCGGGGCGGGTGTCCTGGGATGGGACAGGTGAGAGATGAGGCCCTAGCAGTGGCCCGGGTGCTGTGGGAATGCCTGCCTGGGCCTGAGCAGGGGCTGCCCTGGCAGGGGTGTGGCCAGCTGTCTTGTCGGAGGGCTGCCTTCCTCTCTGCCCCTTTGGGGTGGGGTCAGACTGGAGCCTGGTTTCTACTCCCCTACCCCCCAGAAGAGAGCAGCCTCCACTCCATTCCGTCGTGCTGTTTGCGCTCTGAGCAAGGCCGGTCTTGAAACCCAGCGCTTCCCGTGGGTCCCACCTTCATTCACGTGCAGCATGGGTGGGGCCTGGATTTGGCTGTTTCTCCGCCCCTCACTCCTGGAGTTTCCTCCAGGCTTCCCTCCTCCCAGCTGGGAGCTGCTGACCGGCTGCCCTGGCTGCCCTGGTGCTCTGGCTCGTTCCCGCAGCTTCCTGAGGACTTCCCTCTCTCCCGCATCCTCCTTCCTTCTCGCCAGGCCGTGTGTGTGTGTGTGTGTGTGTGTGTGTGTGTGTGTGTGTGAGCCATGGTCACTGCTGACCCTCGCTGGCCTGACGCTCTGCCTCATTTCTCGGAGGGATGCGGCCCCAGGGGCGCTGGACGGAGCAGGTAGACACCTGTGCATGGGCACCTGTGCTGGGCCCGGGGGTGCCGAGTGTCCCAGCCGGGACTCTGGCCTCAGACAGGAGCCCCAGCTGCAGCGGGGAAGCCTGCAGGGGCTCTGCCTCAGGCTGGGTCCCCTCCACCTGTACACAGTGTCCGGCATGGATGGGAAAGGGCCATGCCGCCCTGACCATACCACACGGTGCTGGGCCTTGAGGCCGAGAGCCAGTCAGCCCCGAGCTCGCATCGGCCCCTTCCCTGAGCCCTACCCTTGCCCCAGCCTCCAGACCGCGCACCTGCCCCCACCTCCCACCCCACGTCCTACGCTCCCGCTCCCGGGTCTGGTGCAGCCTCTCACAGCCTTGGGAAGCATGCGAATTCGGGAGGCACGCCCTCAGGCTGACTCCGTGCTGGGGGACACTTGCCTGTGTGGCATCAGCCCTGTGCTGGCTCCTCCCCCCCTGCCCCTCAGGCCGTGCCCTGCTGTCCCCCCTCTGAAAGCACCTGCCCCTCTCCCCTCTGAAGCTGGCTCAGATGAGCCTCCTCCTCACTGACAAGCCTCTCTGCCAAGCCTGGGCCGCTCATAGATGCGCCAAGGCCTCGAGCAGGGCCTTGTGGAGGGCCTGGGTTGGCCTGGAGCCTGTGCAGCCTGCTCGGCCTCTGCACACACCCCCTTGTGAAATGAACACAGCCTGGCTCCCGGGCCACCACAGTGACCCAGATAAGCTGGCGCACGCGGAGTGCCACACAGCCGTGCGGGCAGCCCATGGCAGGCCGTGCTTTACCGCGGTGCCCCAGGGCCCATGCTGGGCGCCGGGCATGTGCACCCCTGAGGCACGTGCACCTCACATGGTGAGCTGGTGCCTGGTTCGCCCTGGCCTAAGAGCTTCTGCAGCATGGCGGGATGGGGCGGTGCACCGCTCACTGGTAGGGCCAGAGTTCAAATCAGACCCTGTCCTGGCACAGCTGGGCTGGACCCGATGCTCGAACCTCTTTCTGAGTGGCGCCCCTGAGGAGCAGGGGTGTGGAGAGTCCCTGGAGCAGGTCTGGTGTGCAGCTGAGTCTCTGAGCAGAGCCCTGTGGACAAGGCTTTGATGGGGGTGGCACCTGGGACCATGGCATGGTCCAGCCTGCCAGCCCCCTGATGGGGGTGGGTTCTGACCCTCCTCTAGGATCCGCAGCCCCCACCGTGACGTGCCGTGGTCACCGTCAGCCTCTGTCCTCCAGGGCCCCGCAGAGCACAGGCACCCCAGGAACACCACCGGATGGACAGTGCTGGGCGCAGCCACTGCCCGAGTCCCGGGGGGCCAGCCCTGTGTCTGAGAGGGCCCATATGGCTGCCAGGCAGACGGCAACCTCTGACAAGGGCTGGGGGCGGCCCTGATGGTCTGGGAACCCGGCCTCGGCAGGGCAGGGCTCCTGGCAAGGCCTCTCTGAGGAGGTGGGGTGAGCCCTCCTTAAGAGGTGGCTGACAACAGCCACCAGCTGTCAGGCATGTCCTCGGGGCCTCTGGGCAGCCCTGGGAAACAGGAGAACAGTTCATTGTCCCCTTTAGGAGACAGGACGCCATGCCCAGAGGCCAGCGCTCAGAAACAGGTCCCCAGGCTCAGAAACTGCAGCCAGCAGCCCCAGGGCCTGTGGGGGTGGGGAGGCGGGCTCCAGGGGTCTTGGGTTGGCCCAGGACCTGGAGGGTGACCGCCATGCTGCACTCGTGGGCCCTCCACGTGGACAGGAGCTCACCGATGATCTCCGAGCAGTGACCCCATGAGCAGTGTTGAGAGCCAACCTGAGGGCACCTGTGTGGTCATGGAGAACCAGGGCTCAGCTGCATGGCCTGGGGCCTGATGCCCTACCGAAGCCCAGTCTCCTCATCTGTGAAATGGGAACGGTGACGCGGGCCTCTAGGCGCCTTTCACGGGATCCTCGTTTACAGGGACAGGCTTCTTATGACCACCCACTCCACACGGCTTAGGAAGCACCACCCCGCCTGGCTCCCCCGGCTGCTGCTGTCTCAGGGCACCACACCTCTGCCGACCTGGGGACAGGCCTCTGTGGAGCCTTCATGGGGCCAGGCTTTACTGACTTCACGAGGCCCTGCTATGCGGTGGCCATGCCGGTTCCTGTCTTATTCTCACAGCCTGGATGGCCCTGAGCTGTGGCTCCTTTTCCTGGGCCCCTCCAGGCTCCAGGACAGCACACTCCTGCCTGCCCAGCCCACCCTGTTCTTGCTTCCCGAAGCCCTGCCAGGGCACTTTCTTTTTTCTTTCTTCTTCTTCTTTTATTTTTTTTTTAAAGAATCATTTTATTTAACTTTATTTATTTAAATTTGACCAGAGAGAGAGAGAGAGAGGAAGTGAGAAAGCAAGCCACAAGATCTGGGACTTGAACTGTGGCTGGCCATGTGGGAGTCTAGCACCTTTAGCCACCACGCCACCTGCCGGCCCCCAGGGCATTTTTCTTAACACACCTCTTAACCTGTCATTGCTTCTCAGCATCCTCCTTGGGCTTCTGCCCCATGTTCACCAGGTCTTGCAAAAAACCCCGACCCCTAGGGCCAGCTCCCTGGCCTGGTTAAGGGGGCAGGTCCCACATGGCTGACCACAGTTTTTGGATCCTGGCTCTGGTGGCTTGAAAAACACGCCAGATGAATGTGTGTCCCCACACTTCCCATGGGATGGAGAAGTGGAGAAGGGATTGCAGTGTGGACATGCCCCATGAAGGGGTGCTCTCTCTCTCCCTCTCTGGTGAGAGTGGGTGCCCTCTGACAATGAAATATAAAGCAAAGCCCTGACCTCAGGGTCGGTAGTCCGGGGTCTGAGTGCTTTTCCTACCTCCGTTGTGTGGGGTGAGGGGCCAACGCACCTGACCTTCCCAGGCCTCACCTTCCTCACCTGTAAGGAGGACTGGGAGCCCAGCAGGTGGCGTGGCAGTTAGGGTGCTGGACTCCCACATGGCCAACCTGGTTTGAGTCCTGGACATGGTGGCTTAAAAATCACCCCTGGACACATGTATGCATGCCCAAAAACCCTGAGAGGAGAAAGGAGAAGGGATTGCAGGGGGCCGCCCCGTCGGGGGTGATGTCTCACTCTCCCCCTGTCTCTGGTGAGCACACATGATCTTTTCTGCTGTTATTTTTAGGCTTACCAATTTGTAGGTAGTTATGAAAGGTAAATAGTGTCTCAATATCATTTTGCATCATAACCAGGGATGCCCAGGATGTTCCTGGTTTTTCCTGGGGATCTCTGGGGACCCCAGGAAGAGGTGGGAGACAAGTGCAGCCCCTTCGATGGTAGGACATGCAGAGAAGTGAGGGAGGCTGGTTGGGGCCTGCACTCCAGCAGCTGCAGACAACGGAAACACGGCTACCCACGTTTGTACTTCCCCGGGACAGGCGCTGTGGCCTGTGGGGGAGGGATTGGGCCCCCAGAACCCTGAGCCACATCCTGCCACAGCCTGGCTGGCCTGGGGAAGAGCCACTGCCAAGAAGCCCAGCCCAAGGCCCAGGTCAGTGGGGCCTTGTCCCTTCAAAGAGCAGATCCCAGCCTGTGCACCCCGCCTGCACACCGCCATTCTGCTCTGGTGCCCGTAGGGACTGTCCCTCCCCCACACGCACCCCGAGGCTTCTGCTCAGTGGGATGTGCACACTTTTCGACACTGGAGGCCAAAGCTTTGTCAGTTTCTCAAGGGGTTGGTGACCCGGAAATAGCTGCACAACCTAAGGCCTGTCCCAGCCTCTCCCTACCAGCCATCTGTCCTGACCCGGCCTCCCTCTTGATGGGGTGGGGAGGAGGAGACAGCCCAGAGCCGGCCCAGTTCCTTTTCTAACTCGCCAAGTGGCCCCAGGCAAGTCTCGGGTGTAACCCCCTGGGCAAGGCAGAGTGGTACCCTGCAGCGAGGCAGACCGCGTGTGGTTGCCGGCTGGCCCTTATGCAGCCAGCCTGGAGGGAGAATGTCGCAGTCCCGTTCCACCAGAGCGCGGCAGCACAGCGTCCGTGGTCAGTCCACATCACGCAGGCAGAAGTGGCAGAGTGGGACTGAACCCAGGCAGCCTTGGTCACGCTGGAGCCCCGCTCTGTGCTCTCGCTGCCAGTCGCGTTGTCACAGATCTGGGCTTGAGCCGCACTGCCGTGCCTCTGGGCAGACCGGTTCACTTTCTCGGACCCTCGTGTCCCGTGGTGTGGGGCCGGAGGGAGGGAAGTGCTGAGGACGCTGCCTCAGTGACGGGCTGCTGTTACCCAGTGAGCTGCCCTCCTGTCCCCTCATCACCCACAGAGGCCTGAGGGCCCGGACCCCGTGGGAGGGAGCCGCAGGAGCCAGGGAGCGGGAGTGCCGGCAGCCGGGAGACACGGGTTCTGTCCTCTGCCAGGGGACTCGCTGGTGCCCCCCGAGGTGGACTTTGACAGGCTGCTGGCCAGCCTGCAGGACCTCAGTGAGCTGGTGGCCGAGAGTGACCCGCAGGTGGTGCCGGTCCCGGGGGGCGCGCGGCTCCGGGCCCTGGAGCCCATCCCGCTGAAGCTCTACCGCAACGGCATCGTGATGTTCGACGGGCCCTTCCGGCCCTTCCGCCAGCCCTCCACACAGGTAGGAGCCTGGCGCCTGGCCCGCCGCCCACCCGCCCTGCAGGGGCACCAGCACACCCCGAGCCTGGCCCGCCTCGCCCCAGTGCGGGGCAGCTGAGCCGGGGCCAGGGCGGCCACCCGCCCAGGGTGGACGGCCTCACCTTCCTCTCCCCTGCAGCGCTGCCTGCGGGACATACTGGACGGCTTCTTCCCCTCAGAGCTCCAGCGACTATACCCCGATGGGGTCCCCTTCAAGGTGATGGGCCGCTCCCCACACTTCCCCTTTCCCTCGGGATTTTGGAGGGGTGGGGATAACCTGCTATTTCAAGCATCACTCTTTTTGGGGGTGCGGTGCTGCTTTCCCACTTTAGGGGACCCCAGGCGATGTCTGCCAAGAGGAAGGAGCCTGAAATGGGCAAGGGAGCGGGGAGGCTGCCTGCCAGGGCCGCAGGTGCCCCCGCAGCCCGTGCGCTCGGAGGCTGAGCGGGCAGCACCCCCTGCTGGCACGCGAAGGCCCAGCCTTGGCCGCTCGGGACACCCGTACAGCTTGGGGGTCCTGCCTGGCTTCTCTGAGGCTCCTGACCCCGTCTGCTTGGGGGGAGGCATACTTTGAGCCCTGGATGTGGGACGGGGTTGGGGGAGGCAACCGTGGGGTTCTCAGGAGGAGGGCGTGGCTCACGTCCAGGGCTGTGCAGGGTGACGCGTGTGCACGACACGGCACGCTCCAGAGGGCGTATGTGAGGGCGTGCTGCCACGGCCGGGAAAACCCTGAGTCATGACGGGCTGCCGGTCTCCATGCCACAGTGGGCCTGGCGCTGTGCCGAGGGCGGGTGGCGACGGGTTGCTGCCACCAGAGGAGTCTGAGGAGGGCTGCAGCACAGCGGCCTGGCGCCTGGACGGGGGCGCTGGCAGGAAGAGCAGGGCCCGGGAGGCAGTGGCAGCGCACTGGGCCCTCCGGGTTGCTCCCAGGGCCTCCATCTCCCCTCCAGAGTGGACTAGCCCTCAGGCCTGTTTCGGGGGCAAGCAGGGGTGGTAACGGGCCAGGGCGGAAGAGCTGGGCTCACTCTGGCCCTGCTTCTTGCCAGGTGAGTGACCTGCGCCATCAGGTCTACCCGGAGGACAGGCTGGACCTGTTCCCAGGCGAGGGCCGTGTTGTGGGCCAGCAGAGGATGCGCAAGGCCGTGGACAGGGTGGAGGAGCACCCAGGTGAGCTGGGCCCCGGGGCTGAGTGGGAGGCAGGACAAGCCCAGGTGGCCCCCGCCATCACTCCGTCCTTCCCAGGGTCAAGGCTCCTGCTGTCCTCCCTGCAGGCTCCAGGATGACGGCCGAGAAGTTTCTCAACAGGCTCCCCAAGTTTGTGATCCGGCAAGGCGAGGTGGTTGACATCCGAGGCCCCATCCGAGACACCCTGCAGGTGAGGCCAGCCCTGATGGCCCAGCCTTCCTCGGGACTTCACCGCCACCTGGCACGACCTGCCAGAACAGCGTGTCGCCTGGAGGCTCAGGCTCAAGGTCCCCCATGAGGCCTGGATCTCCAGAGAGTTCCACTGTCTCCAGGAAAGGGTGGAGCTGGCGGAGCTCTGGGCTGGGCACCAACAGCAAATGTCAGGGGCAGAGTCCGAGGCCAGGCCACCCCCGAGTTCTAGGCCAAAACAACCAGTTCACCCCGGGACCCCCTGCCTGGTTGTCCTGAGGCCCCTCAACCTCTGGCCCTTGTAGGGCTTATATCCGGTCTCACTCCCTCTCCTGCTACTCGACACAGGTGGCGGCCTGCAGCAGGTGCCACACCTGCTTCGGCCTGCACTGCCTCCTTGGCCCCACGCTACCAAGTCCTGTCTGTGCTGTCCGTCAGCAAATGCCATTTTCCCCATCCGTGCTGCCCGCACCCTCCAGGCTCCAGCGTCTCCCAGACAGCTGGCCTCTACTCCACTCGTGCCAGTGCCGAGTTCCCAGTTGGAACCGTCCAGTGATTCCTGGATAAAGCCACTTCCTTGCCGCGACACCCAGGCGCGTCCTACATTGCCACACCCCCCACACCTCGAACTTCTGCAGTCTTTACTTCTCCCAGCCGACAGACCCCGCCTCAGCCACTTACGCTAGGGCAGCTTCCCAAATGTGCCGCCTTCTCTGGGACGCTCCCCCTGCGTGGGCTTCGTCCACGCCGCGTGGACTGGCCCCGCCCCGGTCCTGTTCTAAGGACTGATCGGCCTCTGTCACGCTCAGGTGTCATTTCCCAAGGGAAGCCTCCCTTCACCCCAGGCTGAGTCCGGCCACGGCCCTGTCCCTCCTCAGAGCAGGGCTGCCTCCCATGGCCTCTGTCTATACGGGGATGGGCCGGGAACACCCCTTCGCTCTCAGGCTCCGTGGTCTTAACTGCCCTTGGTGGAGGAGGAGCCCGCTAAGGGCCTGGGGACTCAGGTGAGCCCAGGACCGCCCGCCCCCATGCCTTCCAGAACTGCTGCCCGTTTTCTGCGCGGATCCAGGAGGTTGTAGTGGAGACGCCTGCCTTGGCTGCTGAGCGTGAGAGGTGAGGGCAGGGCAGAGGTGAAGGCCCGGGGAGCTTGGGCGACCCCGGCACTGATGGCCTCTGGCCCGCAGGAATCGGGTGTCCCCCAACACACCGGCACCCCCACTCTCCATGCTGCGCATCAAGTCTGAGAGCGGGGAGCAGGCCTTCCTGCTGCTGATGCGGCCTGAGGACACGGTGGGCGACCTGCGGGCCCTGCTGGCGCAGGCCAGGTAAGCAGTGTGGGGCCGGGCCACCGGCGGGGGCCGGCCCCAGGGCCCGGCCTCATCTGCTCCCACTGGGTCCCCAGGGCCATGGATGCCACCACCTTCGAGGCCATGAGTACCTTCCCACCCACGGTCTACCACGACGATGCGCTGACGCTGCAGGCTGCAGGCTTGGTGCCCAACGCCGCGCTGCTGCTGCGGGAGCGCAGGGCCCGGCCAGGCAGCCTCAGCCAGGCTCCCGGCCCCGGCCCCAACCCAGGTCCCGGTCCCAACCCAGGCCCCAGCCCCAAATAAAGCGCCCGCCCATCCCAACACTGGCTGTGCCTGAGGCTCTCCTGGCGGGCCTTCTCACTGAGCTGAGCGGAGCCAAGGCCCAGCTGGGGAGAGGGGGTGGTAACTCAAGCTCCAGCTGGCTTGGCCTGGGTCTTTGTCCTCTAGGTTCCTCTTTCTCCCAAGGGGACTATTTGGCTCCTTTGAAGGGAGGACTGGGGAGAGAGGGAGAGAGGGAGGGAGGGAGGGAGGGAGGGAGCCCACCAGGTCTGGGTCGCAGCAGTGCCTGGCTGTGCAAGCATACAGACCCACGAACTGGCAGGACAGACCCTGACCACGACGCGGAGCTGCTCCCACACCACCTCCCATGGCCCGAGACGCAGAACCAGCGCATGTCACACGGACTGAACGGTGGCCCGCCAAGTTGTCCACAGACCACTGTGGGTTGCCAGGGACGTGCACAGCCTTGGCGAGCACATCTCCCAGCCCTACCCAGGGAGGGGTTCAGGATGCCCGGCCAGACAGACAGACACAGGGTAATGGAATGGGCATTTAATTGCCTCTAGGGCACTTCCTGGAGGGGATGCGGGGCCTTTGGCAGAGCTCTGGCTAATGGGAGCAGCAGGTGCCCTTGAGCCAGGGCCAGGCAGGGTGGCAAGCCCCAAGGCCTGGCTGGAGTCAGCCAGCATCGGGGCCATTGCTTAAGACAACTTCTGAGGTGGGTGGGGGAGGAATGCTTCCTGTGAGTGGGTGCGGGGCCCAGCTGGGGGAGACTCCCAGGTCAGGAATGATGGGGGGCTGGTCATAAGGTCCCTTGAGGTCGGTCCCTGGAGGTCAGGTAAGGGCTGTGGTGAGAGTCCTGCGGGAGAGCCATGGCCAGTGCGACTCAGGCCAGCTTCAGGAACTCCTGCAGCGTGTTCTGCTCCACGGCTTCCACGAAGAGCTCATAGTCCTGGGGAGGTGGGCGGGGGTGGGGTCAACAGATGCAGATGTAGGGTCCCCGGTGCACTGTCCACCCGGACCCAGCCCCACAGTGACCCTGACTGGAGCCCTCCTCCCACACTGCCCCTGCCCCAGTCCATACCCCACAGTACTGGTCCCCGTTGACGATCTGGGGCGGGGTGGCCTTGGGGTTGCCGGCCAAGGCCCGCATCTCATCCCGCAGGGCGTTGTCCTGAGAGATGTCCACTAGCTGGTACTGGATGCGCTTCCCGTCCAGGATGCGGGTCACCTCGCTCTGCTGGGACTTGATCTGGGGGCCGAGGGCGGGCAGGGGTCAGTGGCCGAGCTGGAGTGCCTCTGGGGGCCGTCCCCGGCAGGATGAAACTGGCCGAGACCAGGAGCTCTTGTCTCCATATTCCCTCCGCAGCCCCGGGGGAGGGTTCGGGCCACAGGCAGCTGAGGGTGAGCCAGGCCTGGGGTGGTGCAGGGTGACGACAGCGACCAGCAGCCCTGGACAGGGTGCGGAGAGCCCGGAGCTCCCCCGGGACGGCAGAGTAGGCCTGGTGGGGACTTACAGGGGACATTCAGGCACTCGCAGCCGGGGAGGAAAGGCGGAATAAGGCGGGGGCCAGGGCAGTGGGGGTGCAGAGAATGGCGTCCCAGTGACGGGGATGGGTGGGGCAGCTCATGCCGGGGTGGTGAGGACCCCGCTTGCTCAGGAGGGT